CTTACTGATGAAGATTAAAAACTACAGTCTGCAGTATGGATTACACTTCAATATAAAGAAAACAAAAATCCTCACAACTGGTCCAATAAACAGCTTCACAATGGATGCAGAAAAGATTGAAATTGTCAAGGATTTCATATTACTTGATTCTACAATCAACACTAATGGAAGCAGCAGTTAAGACATCAGATGACATATTGGATTGGGCAAATCTGCTGCAAAAGATCTTTTTCAAGTGATGAAGAACAAAGATATCTCCTTGAAGACTAAGGTGCACCTAACCCAAGCCATGGTATTTTCAATCATCTCTTATGCATGTGAGAGCTGGACAATGAATAAGGAAGACTAAGGAAGAGTCGAGGCTTTTGAGTTGTGGTGTTGGAGAAGAATGCTAAGAGTACCATGCACTGCTAAAAGGACTAACAGATCTGTCCTGGAAGATGTGTAGCTGGAATACTCCTTGGAAGTGAGAATGACCAGACTTTCATCTCACCTACTTTGGGCATGTTGTCAGAAGGAACCATTCCCTAGAGAAGGATATCATACTTGGTGAAGTGGAGGGTCAACAAAAAAGGGGAAGGCCCTCAATGAGATGGCCTGACACACTGGCTGCAATGATGGACACAGGTATAGCAAGGATTGTGAGGCTGGCACAGGATGGGGCAGTTTCATTCTGCTGTGCACAGGGTCACTGTGAGTCAGAGATAACTCAACGGCACCTATCAACAACAACAGGAATGTCCTTTGAAATAGTACAATAATCATTATGAAAAAGAAAGAATTTGTATTTCTGGAAAGCAACTTGATTACTTTGGCAGAGAGTATAATTATGTTTTTTGTGATGTAAATTTTGGATAGGCTCAAAATCTGTATCATTAGAAACTGAAAGTGCTAAAACTTAATTTTAAGAATCACACTCAAAACCATGCCATAAAAATAGTTACAATTCATGAGAACAAATCAATGTATTTTTAAGTATCTACTGTTGAATTAATATAAGAATAATTCAACATGGAAATATGTAGGTGAAGAAATGAAGACTTATAAGAAAAACAATGTAAAGTTATTGAATACAGAGTGTATATTGATGTTAATGGAGACACATCAACAGAAATGGGGGCAGGAAGAGTGTATCAGGAATGTACTTGTTATATTTAAGGTTGTATGTTACTGTTGTTTGTATTTGAGTGTTTTTGCTATTGTCAATTGTGTAATGTAATGTATGGGGTAACCACCAAAAATTCACTGAGAAAAAACATTCAGAAGAAAAATAGGATGAAAGCCTAAAGGCTCATCACAAGAAAATAGTCACATACAAACAAAAATAGAAAGATTAGGGGAAAAAAATACAAAGAATATCCAAAACACTCAAACAATGAAAACAAACGGTGAAGAGTGAGGAAGACAGTTTGTTTTTAGTGATAACCTCAAATTTTAATGATCTAAGCATCCCATGCAAAAGGTAGAGTGGCATAATTAATTTAAAATAATAATAATAATAATCTATCCTTGTATATTTTGCTGTCTACAAAAGACATCAGATCACAAACATACTGAAAGTAAAAGGATGGAGAAAAATAATTTATGCAACCAGCAAACAAAAATGTGCAGGGGGGGCATATTGATAAAATAAACTTTAAATCAGAATTTATTATAAGACATAAGGAAAGGCATAATAAAAAATAATTTGAGAAAAAGATTAACTCAGCAAGAGAACATAATAAATATAAATATATAGGCACTTAATAGCAATGTTCCAAAATATATGAAACAAATACTGACTGATATGAAAGGAAAAATTGACAACTCTACAATAACAGTAAGGGACTTCAACACAGCACTTCCAATTACAGACAGGACATCTGGAAAGAAGGTAACTAAAGACACTGAGAACTTAAATACAACCGTAAAACAATTGCACTTTACAAACATTTATAGACCATCACCTAGCAATCACAACAAATTTCACTGTTAGTTTACCCAAAAAGCAAGATAAGCATGGGTTTACTGATACTTACCAATCTTTAATGAACAATTTCACATTTTCTCACTCATCAAAGATTCTGAGAGCTTAAGAGGCTAAGGTCTGAATCCAAGGTACCAGCTGCAGGGAAAGGCTTTTTTTGATGGATCTGGAGGGAGGTCCTTGTCTCCTTTCAAATCTGTAGTCTTGGCATCCCTTGGAGATCTCCATGTGTCTTGGCATTGATCTTCCCCTGGTCTAGGATGTTCACAGGACAGAGACCCGTGGTCAAAGGATCTGTTTTACTACTGACTCTGACTTCTTGGTGGTCAGAGCTCCATCTCTGCTCACTTCTCTTGTATAACACAAAAAGTGATGCAGCAACAGAACCAACTGATATAAAATAAGATAATATCAGGATACTATGAAGAATTATATTCCAACAAATTAGAAAACCTATAAGAAATGGACAGATTTCCAGAGACACATTACCTACCTAAACTAACACAGACTGAGGTAGAAAATATAAACAGGCCTATAACAAAAGAAGGAGTTTTGGTAGCATAGTACCTAAGGCACTTGACTGCTAACCAGAGGACTGGTGGTTCAAACCCACCAGCCACTCCTTGGAAGGAAGGTTGGGCAATCTACTTCCGTAGTGATACCTCCTCGGAAACCCAAGGAGGGGTCAATATGAGTCGGGTCCAACTCAATGGCACATAACAACAACAACAACATAATAAAAGAAGAAAATGAACAGGCCATAAAAAAAAATGTTCTGGCCCAGATGGCTTCACATGCACAGTCTACCAAACATCCATGGAAGAGCTGACACCAATTATACTCAAACTATTCCAGAATATAGAA